ATAACATTATAATTAAGTATGAATTTTGTGAAACAAAAAGATTTGAAAAATAATTAATGTGTATGTAACCAATGATTGTAATAATTGATCATTTTGAATTAATATATATTTTATAAATTAACTTATTACAGTAGCAATATTTAAGTACTTAATTTGGAATAAACCCACTTAAGTGACTTATTTTTGGTTTTATTTTTGGAAATAACAAAAAATTAAAAAAAACTGAAATTATGTTATAAGACAAAAACATTTTAATAATAAACATTATTTTTTATTAAAAATAACATTTTAATAACATTTTTATAACAAAAAAACAAAAAAGAAAAAACAATTAATTTAAATTTATTTCATGACATTTGAAAAACTTGGGCTATATGTTGATTTGTTCTGGTAAAGACTTTATGATTTTTTCAGTCCTTTTCAAGTTTAAACACTGTTTTTAATGCTTTGAGTGGAAAACTTGTCGAATACAGAATCCATTTGGTATTTGACCAAAAAGTGTACAATTTTTACATTTTTGTGTAAAAAACCACATTTTACGTTTTACACAAAATGTAACTTATTTTTTAATCCAAATGTTTCTTTAACCTTACGATACTGTTACTGTTTTAAATAAAACATGAATTTTATTTTTTGAACTTGATATGATATACAAAATAAACTTAACTTGTGGCGACTCTTTTGAAAGGTAAACAGTAAACAAACCGATCGCGCAAACAATAATTTATAGGTTTTCTTTTTTTCTTCAATTATTGAAAATGTTTTAATTAGAACACAAAAGGTATTGGTTTTTTCATTAACAAAACATTTTTTTCCAAAAAAAATGTTTTATAAAAGAAAAAAAAGAATCGTAAGGTTAAAACAGTTTTCAACAAAAGCTCAGAAGTTTAATATAAAATACTGACATTAAAGCATGCCTCGGAAAAAATCAATATTTTGCACGAAAATATTTTTTGGCAAATTAAAATAAAACTTACCTCATGGTTACTCCTTTTAATAGAACAATAGTAAAACCGTCTAGTATTGAAACTATTAACAACTGGTTAATTATAATAGTATACACATAATATAATCAATTATACATTTTTATAATAGCAATATAATAATATTAACTATGTATCAACTAATGTTTGATTTATGACAATGAATTTATGTATCATATAATGTAATAAATTATATATTATGAAATAGTACATTTTGTTAAAAACAATCAAATAACATTTTTTAAAACAAATATTTTTTATTTTTGAAAACTATATAAAAAATTAACAACAACTAAATATTAATAGTAAAATAAAGTCACAAATAAACCTAAAAAACAATTCAACTATTAATAAATTATTATTAATCTATAAATTAATAATTTAAATTCATTATGAATATAAATTTTTTAATAAAATTAACAAATAAACTAAAAGTATAATAAATTTAATAATTTTGATATAATTAAATAATATAAAAATTCAAATAAAATAATGTTAAATTAATTCGAAATAGCATAATAAAATAGTAATTAAAACCAATTATTTAATTATTATAGTTATTATTATAACAATTAAATCAAGTTTATTCTTTAGTTTATGTAAACATTTTTAAAGTGAATTATATTATTTATTTAAGTTGTATTTATATTCAATTTATAACAAATTATTATTTTTTATTAACAATTTTAATTATTAATTATTGACATGA